GATACTACACCAAGTCCAGTCTGCAAAATGGGTCACAAACGACCCTCCACACGCCTGGGGGCACTCTGCACACCCCACAAGGACAGCGCCGCACCCCTTCTTAAGGACCCCAATCTGCTGCACGTCCTGATCTCTTCTGTGAGCACCGCTTTTCACACACACAGATCACCCCAGTGCAAATCTAATCAAAATCAAACCTGATTGTCTATGCAAGTCCACAGTTACAACATTCTCATTCCACTAGGGTTATAAACCGTATAAAATAATATTAACTGTCATTGGCAGAAAGATAACAAAACAAAATTAGTCAAGATACAATTCATTTAAGATAACTGAACAATGTTAGCTTATATGTCAGACTCACACACACCCGTGTGCAAACATGAACAGCAGTTGTTTCTGAAAATGAAGACTGTCACAGATTCGAGCTATCCCAAGAGAGAACGAGAGAGCCTCACTGTGGGGACATGCCACCAGCACCCACTACCTCCTGAGACAGCAGGAAAGCCTCTGACAGCCAGGCTGCACGCTAACGTATAGTTAACCCTGAACACTAGCCTGGAGTAGCGCGTTAACTAGGGGCTAGGCAATGATTACCAGCTCACCTAAACACTTGTGTTTATCCTTGCTGACAAACCAGATGTTATTTTACACACATATCCAGATAACATGAATCATCACCACACCAACTGATCAAAATACCAAACGTGACACATGCACACACAATAGTGCCTGCTGTGCACATCCACAAACTCGGGGGAACGAAGGTGAAGAACTCCACACGTGACTTTAAGAAACTTTGGTAAGCATCAGTAACCTAGTAGTGTTTGCGTTTATGGGACCTTTATGCAGAACTAAAACAAGACAGGAAAAGATGCTAGTCCAACAGACAATTTCTATCAAATTTTAGGAAAAGCATGTAGCCCACGTTCTGCCAGGAGTAACTGTTTAAATACAGAAAGTCAATAGTGTCCACAAAACATTTACTGCATACCAGCATGTGGCAGACTAATGTCTCAAGACTGAAACTCCGAATTCCCGCCTGTGTTACAAGGCAGGCAGGAAGACAGTCAATGACTGCACTGAACGACACACCCCACGGGACTCCACGACTGTACTGCCACGACACACCCCACGGGACTCCACGACTGTACTGCCACGTCATATTCACGGGACTCCACGACTGTACTGAATGACACACCCCACGGGACTTCACAACTATATTGCCACGTCACACCCCATGGGGAGACCCTGGGAGCAGGAGCAACGAGTCCACCCAGCAGCTTCACAGGACAAAGAAGGCGACAGACCTGAGGCCTTACAGCAACTTCAGGCGTCCAGGGCAGCCATGACCACCAATGAACAGCTTTCCCTAGTGATAAAGCATCAACCTGCAGTCCACATCACCAACTCTCATGTCTTCCAGAATAATCTTCAGCGGAAATAGGGAAGAACTGAAACCCCTTGAGGACAGCCTGCTCTTCTGACAGCCCTCCATCTGCAGACACGGAAGCCTCGAGGAGGGACCCGCGCAGTGTCACAGCACGCTAAGTCTCCACTTGGGATGTAGGCATTCCATATGGGCACCGGTTCAAGTCCTGGCTGCTCTACTTCCCATCCAGCTCCCTGCTTATGGCCTGGGAAAGCAGCAAAAGGTGTCTCAAGTCCTGAGGACTCTGCACCCGTGTGGAAGACCCTGAAGAAGCTGCTGGCTTCAGATCAGCCCAGCTCTGGCCACTGCAGCCATTTGGGGAGTGAACCAGCAGATGGAAAACCTCTCTCATTTTCTCTTCCTCTCTGTAAAGTTCTATTAAAACAAGTAAATACTTAACTGTTTTAAATAGAAAAACATATCTTTAAAAAAAGGTGAAGAGCAAACCTCACCAGACTGATGAACATCTTGTAAATGTAACACACAGACCCAAACTTCCCGAAACGCCACGCGTGCAGATCAGAAAACCATCAGGTGTTGGCACAGACCTCGGCAGGGCTACAAAACTTTAGAACAGCTCCTGACAACGCCACAAACAAGGCAGCAAAGAAAATAACTCACAGCTACACAGAAGAGCACCCCAGTGAGGGCCCGGCAGCATGGCCTAGTGGCTAAAGTCCTCGCCTTGAACCCACTGGGATCCCATATGGGTGCTGGTTCTAATCCCAGTAGCTCCACTTCCCATCCAGCTCCCTGCTTGTGGCCTGGGAAAGCAGTCCAAGGACGGCCCAACGCCTTGGGACCCTGCACCTGCATGGGAGACCAGGAGGAAGTTCCTGGCTTCTAGCTTAGGACCGGCACAGCAACGACCATTGCGCTCACGTGGGGAGTGAATCATCGGACAAAGATCTTCCTCCCTGTCCCTCCTCCTCTCTGTATATCTGACTTTCCAATAAAAATAATAAATCTTTAAAACAACAAAAAAAGATTACCCCGGCGAGGGACTGCTAGGCTCACAGCTCACCATCCCACAGACTTTAGCACAGCCACTCAACACTGCTTTTCCAGGACACTGACACATGTAAGTATAACAGCCAGAGGAAAAGCAACTCACAGCAAAAGGCAAAAGGGGCCCACAGCGCCGGCCGCAGAGCGCCGGGTAGATCTGAAGCAATTCCTCCTGCACCTACCACGCTCAACGTAAGCTGAACTTCTCAGAGCAGGGCAGTACTGAGACCTTCAAAAAGCTGATGGAAACGCATGTCAGGAAAAACGCATCTATTTTAAATTTTCAAAATAAACTTGTATTGACAAGTGATGAGCTAACTGACCAGGACCTGGTTTCAGGCACAGACGCCGACACAAGCCCTTGTCCAAGTCGGTGAACATTAAGACAGGAGCAGGAACAGCTATCAAATACACAAAGCAGCTCCCATGGACAACGGGGGCTTCAGGGGCCCGTCACACACTCCAAGCAGTCAGCAGCTCACAGATGGACAGCCGCTGAAGCCATCGGAAGAGGCTCAAGATGCCGAGAGCAGCCAGAGCAGGAGCTGATGAGCAGCCCAGCAGCCCACGGCAGACCCGAGATGGTCCACAGACACCGTGCTGACCCCTCAGAGTGGAGCCCACTGTCCACTCGGCCCATGGCACAGACCCGAGACGGTCCATGGACACCGTGATGACCCCTCAGAGTGGAGCCCGCTGTCCACTCAGCCCACAGCAGACCCCTGAGACGGTCCACGGACACTGTGCTGACCCCTCAGAGTGGAGCCCGCTGTCCACTCAGCCCATGGCACAGACCCGAGACGGTCCATGGACACCGTGCTGACCCCTCAGGGTAGACCCCGCTGTCTACTCAGATTGGCTACAGACAACAGTTCCGAGGCAGGCCAAGTCAGCAGAGGCAGGAGTGGAGTCCGTGGACACGGCACAGCCCCACTAGGGCTACAAGTGGGAAGTGGTTCAGGGTCAACCAGGGCCCTAGGCACAGCAAAGGGCCTCTGCTTCTGGGGAGATGGCTGGAGATGTCACAGGTGTGAGCCATGAGGAGGAGACGCTAGGAACTCCACAGGAGCCGCTCCACGGCCGCCCACTCCGCCCCCTCCTCCACTGGGCACCCAGTGCCACTCGGCCTCCAGCTCCACGGCTGCCCACTCCGCCCCCTCCTCCACTGGGCACCCAGTGCCACTCGGCCTCCAGCTCCACGGCCGCCCACTCCGCCCCCTCCTTCACTGGGCACCCAGTGCCACTCGGCCTCCAGCTCCACGGCCTGCCACTCCGCTCCCTCCTCCACTGGGCACCCAGTGCCACTCCAGTAACGGGGAGGCTGCCCCACCGCGGGAACCTCATGCTGACCACACGGCCGCCAGCCAGGATGCTGCTTATGTGAACAAATTCACTTGATCTTTTAATTCCACACTTCTCAAGTTTCCTTGGAAGTTACTAAATGATTAAAAAAAAAAAAGTTACAAGAAATCACCTGTTTTTAACCGTTACATTATTAAAGACTTTCAAAGGCAGGAGATCTAGGCTGAGCTGCACACTCATTTAAAGAACGGTGGCCCTTAAGGTCTTGTTTTCCTGTCACCTGCAGAGTAAGGTGGGACGATGCCACTGCCACAGTTCTGACAGGCGAGCCTAGTTCACAGCTACTCATGTCAGCAGGAAAACGTGTCGGCTGGGTGCTTGAAAATGTTTTAATTAAGTAAACCACAGCTGGCTTTTATTCGGGATTTTTTTCTTTTTATACCCAATCTAAAAGCCCAAGGAGCAAGCTGAATTCCATTACTAACCTGCCAAGATTCCTCTTGTCGGCCAGGCTAGAAACAGCTCAAAAAGTAGATGTGCCCACGCAAAGCCGTGTACCGACATTGTTTTAGAGCCACCCCATTTTCTGTTCCATACAGGGAAAAGCGAGCCCAAAGCTGCCAAGGACTTCACCCCGCAAGGACCCCGTCTCGCAGCCCCAACACCGGGGCAGCGGGCCTCGAGGCCCACGCGGCCATCACCATCAGCCGGGACCGACCTGCACCTGTCGGCCCATGCTCGCCCCCGGGAAGGGTCCACGGCGCGCAGCCTGGCCATGGGGCAAGGCACGACAGGTGGACCGTGCAGCCGAGACGCGGGCTCACCACCGCACTCGCACACGCACACACACGCACGCACACCCCGGGCCTCCCGAGGCGCGCCGGCCAGGCCCGGCCGAGACTCACGCCCATCAGCCGGCGCCGCGGCGCGCGGGCCCGCGACCTCTGCACCCCGGCCGCGCGGCGCGCAGGTGGGGCGCCCGCGCCAACGCGCACCCCACGCCGCGGCCCCCCGAGCGCGACCCCCGGGCCGCGGCCGCCACCCCAAGCCCAGTCCCGCCTCCCGCGCCCGCCGCCCAGGGCCGCGAGGGCCAGGTGTGCGGCCCCCGCGCCCAGGTGAGCCGCCGGCCGACCCCCGGCCCTGCGGGGCGCGCCCCGGGACCCCGGGGAGGGGCGGCCCGCGCGGATCCCGCGCCCCCTGCCCGCGGCGCCCCTCCCCCACGCCGCGCCGCCGCCGCCGCCGCCCGGCCGGCGCTCACCTCGGTCGGCTGGCTGATCTCGAACAGGTCCAGCCGGTTGGCGTTCCAGTGGTGGATGATGTCGGCCAGCTTCCGCCGCTCCTCGTCGCGGCCGCCCGCCGACATGGTCCCGGCAGCCTCCTCCCCGCCGGCCGGGCCGGGAGAACGCCGGGGACGACAGGTCCGCGGCCCGCGCCCCCGGCCGCCGCCGCCGCGTCCTCCGCCCGGGCTCGGCCTCCGCGTCCTCCGCCCAGGCCGGCCGCGGCCCCCGCGCTCGCACCTCGGCCCCGCGCTCGCACCTCAGCCCCGCGCGCCGCGCCGCCGGCCGGTGCGCCCCGAGCGCCGCCCTCGCGCCCCGCCCGCCGCCGTGCGCGCCCGCCGTGCGCGCCCCCGCCGCCCGCGCGCGCGCACGCCCGCACCTCCGGCCCGCTCCGCTAGGTGCTGCTCCGCGGCGGGCGGGGGAGGGTGGGCGCACCGCGCGGCGAGGCCGGGCTCGGTCCCGGGGCGGGATTCCCACGGCGGGAGGGGGCTGACGGGGTGAGGGGACACCGGTTCCCATTGGGGATCCTGACAGGGGTGAGGGGCACCGGTGCCCATTGGGCCATTCCTGACAGGGGTGAGGGGCACCGGTGCCCACTGGGGATCCTGACAGGGGTGAGGGGCACCGGTGCCCATTGGGCCATTCCTGACAGGGGTGAGGGGTACCGGTGCCCATTGGGCCATTCCTGACAGGGGTGAGGGGTACCGGTTCCCATTGGGGATCCTGACAGGGGTGAGGGGCACCGGTGCCCACTGGGCCATTCCTGACAGGGGTGAGGGGTACCGGTGCCCATTGGGCCATTCCTGACAGGGGTGAGGGGCACCGGTGCCCACTGGGGATCCTGACAGGGGTGAGGGGCACCGGTGCCCATTGGGCCATTCCTGACAGGGGTGAGGGGCACCGGTGCCCACTGGGGATCCTGACAGGGGTGAGGGGCACCGGTGCTCATTGGGGATCCTGACAGGGGTGAGGGGCAGTGGTCCCCACTGGGCCATTCCTGACAGGGGTGAGGGGTACCGGTGCCCATTGGGCCGTTCCTGACAGGGGTGAGGGGCAGTGGTCCCCATTGGGCCATTCCTGACAGGGGTGAGGGGTACCGGTGCCCACTGGGGATCCTAATGGGGTGACAGGGCACGGATTGCCACCAGCTTTGCTGAATTCCAACAATTTGGGCTCAACATTACTTCTATTAGATTTAGACCAATCAGAAAGAAATAGCTCCATAAGCATCTGCTTCCAAATAAGCTTCAATAACGCTCCGATCGAAAGGCCCAACTCATCAAGGTGGCACAGCCAAGTCTGGTCCACTCCCAGCCAAGGCAGCAGAGAAGCCCAGGGGAGGGTCCAAGGCCTTGGGCCTCTGCCACACACATGGACGACACAGAGGGAGTTCAGGCCCCTGGCTGTGGCCTCACCCAGCTGGCAGCCATCTCAGGAAGGAACCAGTGGATCTCTCTCTCTCTCTCTGATCCTGGCTCGCAAATAAATAAACAAATATTTGTAAAAGCCTAATTGAATTGTATTTCTTCTCTTACTATCTATCCCATGAACCAGGCAGTCAGTTTGAATAACCATAACAATAGTAAAAATGTTAACAGACCGCCATTACAACCATCAACCAAGTCCCACTACATATGACACAGCCACACCTTTAGAGTCGGTACACGCAACTTCAGCCTCGAAAACAGTGCAGTCCTGTAGATTCTTGGAAGCTAACTGCCATTTCATCAGAACACGTGAGCCACACGTCCTGATAAGGGCTCAGATCACACTAGCTCCCCAAGTTTCAGAGTAGTCCTCAAACACATTCCCCAAGTAAAAGAAAAATACCATTGCGTCTCAAATTCCTACCAAAATTTATCACAATGGCACAACCAACACCACCACTACTAATTAGTAGTTAGCTACCTTGTATGGCTGAAGATTTCACAGAAAATGTGACAAAACCTAGAAAAAAATAATAGCAATTGTATAATATGTTGTGGTTTTTACATAGAATTGAACCATAGCTAACAGTGTAAAAAGCCCTAATTGTTTCAACCATGAGAGTTTGCACAAGGACACTGCAAAGACTCATTCCCTCCCGATGAAGGCTGGGCCTGCTGCCTGCAGTGCCTGTGCAGCCCCGCCGGTGCTTCAGTGTCAAGGGAGTGTGGGCCTCCTCTTGTGCATGGCCACAGATCTCGCCATCGGGCCCCACAACCACATCCTCCTCCGTGAAGATGTGCGTTGTGGCTGAATGCAGCCGCGTGCACACGCGAGCCAGGCACCGCTACTGAACATGCAGACCGAGGCCCAGCCCATTGCACAGTGGCTCTCCCAGACGCCTGGCCCAGTCAGTCATGAAGACGACCCTCCTGAGCTAGCACAGCGGTGCCAGATCTATCAGCTTGCAGGTGCCGGCCGAGTGGAACGAAGTCATGGAGGCTTTCCAGTCAAGCAGACGCCCCTACACGGTTGTGCATTTCTTCCTCCAGGTCACCAGTTAAAACCTCGGCCTTAGCCCCATCCAAACACACATGCACCAGGAGTCTCTTCCAAAGCCCCATCCGCCCTCACTCCGCAAAACGTTCTGGGTTTCCTTCCCTTCTTACTCCTGCCTTGTCCTGTTCTCCCTACTCAACAGACTCCAGCCACTACGCTCCAGCAAAGCCGCTCAGAGTCCCCCATAATACACCCGGTGGTTCTTCCTTGCTGGCTCAATCGTTCCCTGAAAGTAGGAGGTGCCACCGCCTTTGTGCTCGTGGTTGTGGCAATTCTTCCATCATCCTGTCAAAACAGTGAAGCGTAATATTCCGCCCACTGCGTCCAAGCTTGTGCTGCAGCCTGCTGGTTGACCTCTGCACGCTCCCAGGAACTGGAGGACAGCCAGGGCAGCTCCTCTGTGCCGCTGTTGCATGAATGGCCCTGGCATCTTCCTCACCACTCCCGTAGAGATGCCATTCATCAGCTCCAGTTGAGAACGTGCTCAGAAAAAACCCAAATGCTCCTTAAATGAGGAGTCCTCATAGTGTGTGAAGTTACCTTGGTTCTGTAAACCAAAATTTGAGGGCAATTCTTCCTGGGAGATTAAGAAAGAAATCTGATCCAGAATCAGCAGCCAAAGTGGAAATTGCCCAACGGTGCCCGACCCCTCTACCTGAAGCACTAAGCTAATGCAAACTCTAGCACCCTGTGTGTCCCACACATGATTAATGTACTAGTATTGCGTTAGCTTAGCCACACACAGTCCATGAAAGATTAATCAGATATGTTCCTGCCTATGCATATAAGCATGCAATAAGTTTCTAAAGGCACATAGCACATTAAATAATTAGTTCACAAAAAGTAGTTCTCATTATGTAAATTATTCAGCGTGTAGAGCTTTGAATGTTACCTCGGAGATGCCTTCCCCAACTGCCCACAGCACATAAAGTCAGCACTGGAAAATACACTTATCCCTCCAGCAATTGTCTTCTCCCACCAGCTCAGGCAGTGCCCACCTTCTCACCCTGCACGCCCAAAGCCAGGGGGCCTCTAAACCGAGACCCCCATCTGACAGCTGCCCATCGCTCCAGGGCCATGACACCAAGATGGCCCACCCACTAGAATGCCTTCTCCGGGAACCAGAGACAAAGCAGCCACAGCCACTCCTTTCTGTGCTGGCCGAAAGTTGCAGTTTTAGTCATTAGTGCTCTTCCATTCGCTGGGTTACTCCCCAGATTCCTGCCGTGGTTAAAGTTGGGCCAGGCTGAAGTCAGGCCTCCCAAGTTCTTGAACCAAGGACGTGCTGATAGCAGGAGGCGGATGGGAAGTGGTGGAGGGGTCCATCCGGGGTGTGGGCCTCTCCGGCGGTATCTTCCTGCTAGTCTGTGTGCTCACTGCTGATGGTTTCAGCTCGGCAGAATTCTGTGGTCCAGTGTAGCTGGCAAGGCCTCGATGCAGTCAGCTGCCTTCTAATCAGGCTTTGCCCAGGTCACTCCAAAGCACTAGCTATGCCTGCTTGCTGCACAAACACAGATACACACACACCCACATGTGGAACTGCACAAACCCAGCCCACTCTCCGACCTCCAGCTACATTAAAATGAACGGATGCATTAATATAATTCATTCACTTTGATTCATGCCAAACTCCTAAACCAATAAATCTCATATAATTCATTAATAACTCAAAGCTTACACTTCAACCATTGCATTGACTTGCTACTATCTAGCAGCAGATTTTAACCTGATACCTAATTGAAGTATACTTTCCAAAACCTTGGGCTTCTAAGGTAGCTGTGGGCAGCCCCTGCCTGGGAGGGAGGCGTGGACGACCCCTCCCAGGCCTGCAGAGCCCAGCTCCACCAGGTACCGGGGGCACAAAGGGCCTCTGTGCCCGGCGCTCCAGGCTCAGCCTGCTCCCTGATGATTCATGCAGGGATTCCATGGCCGTTCGTTTTCTGTTGCGGTGAAATCCAAGCGGACCTTTTCAAGCTGCTTTCTCCAGAGGAAGATAAACTGCTCAGCGCGGGTGTGTGTCCTAGTGATACTGTTTTGAAAATCCTCCCAGTGTTTGTAGAGGCGGCCCTCTGCTCGGCCTCCTGGTGCTACTGGAATGCCCAGACAGTGTGAAGGGGCAGTGGCCTGTCCGCTTCACGCCCATCAAAACACATCTTCTCTCAGTTTTCACAGGGGTGCTTCAAGCAGCCTGTAAAAAATGACATCAAAAAATTAGTTTATGCACCAAAAAAAGAAAACCACTTTTAAATGCTTGCATAATTTTTTCATAAACATTTTCCATGAACTTTTTGAATTCCACACATTCAGGGCTTTCAAAATATTTCTTATATCAAAATAAACTGGATAAAGCACTTGTATCTACACATATTCCACTAACAGAGTGGGCCCCACGGTTGCAATCATACCTGATGAAGGGAGTTACAAGACAGAATTGCTGTTGACCTCTGAGCCTTGGGAACCTTCCTGCCACAAGAGCATCCCATATGGGCTCTGATGCATAACCCGCTGCTCCATTTCCAGTCCAGCTCCCTGCTAGTGTGCCTGGGAAAGGACTGGGACATGACTCAAGTTCTGGGCTCCTACACCAATGTAGGAAACCCAGAAGAAAATCCTGGATCCTGGCCTGGGCCTGGTTACGATGGTCGTCAGGAAAAGAAGCGGTAGATGGAAGGCGTGTGTGTGTGTGTGTGTGTGCGTGCGTGTGTGTGCGTGCAC